CCAGGCCTCAGCGGCGGAAGCGTCCAGAACCCTCACCACAGCGGCAACTGCTCTGGCCGATTGGCTGAAGTCCCGAGGCCTCATCTTGAACGCCGCCAAGAGCCAGGTTCTGACCATCTCTCTCCAGCAGCATGTACAGGAAGTAACAGTCAAAAGCGGCGACTGTCTCCTCCCTTCAGCGTCTTCTGCGCGCTACCTCGGCGTTCACCTTGACAATCGCCTAGATTGGGACACCCATGTAAACTATGTGGTCACCAAGGTTGCCAAGAAAATTGGCGCCTTGTGGCGGGCACGCCGAAGCCTATCAAGACGCTCTCGTCAGGTGTATGTGAAGGCGGTCATAATGCCCGACCTGCTTTATGGCTCCTGCTGCTTTTCAGCCGCAATGCGAGAGGGTCAACTGAAACGACTGCAAACCGCGCAAAACAGAGCCATCCGCTGTATCGATGGCAACCCGCCCCGGACAGCCATGCAGCCGCTGCTCACTGCTCACTCCCTGTACCGTGTCAGCGAGCTCTACAGGCAGAAAATATTGATCACCATCTGGCGGTGCATCCACGCCCGCACCAGCCCTGTGCTCACCCAGCTTCTGACCCCAGCACAAGGCACCCCTACCCGCCATCAGCAGTCAAATGGCCTACTGAGTCAGGCAAACCGTAGCCGCCGCGGTCAGCGGAGATTTTCTGTTGCTGGTGCTCTGCTGTGGAACGCTCTCCCTGGTGAGGTCCGCAAAATTACCCGGCTACCTGAGTTTAAGCATGCATGTGTACCATACGCCTGTAGGGAGTAGTTCGAGTTGCTGCTGATCGCTCTGCTGTCCCTCCCCGTGCAGTTCAGAAATCCTCACAGTCACGTAGTATCACAGATACATTGTATTCTCCCCCCCCCCCCCCCCCCCGTTTACTCGCAGTTATTAGTATCCTATTCTCTTCTAATACTATGTGCTTCCATAGCCTTTACTATGTTCTTCCATAGCCACTTCTAGGCTAAGCCTTCGCCGTCATTTTATTGGGTCGTCCTCCCGTTTGAATGTTCTGAAATAAAAACCAACCAACCAACCAAAGCTGCTGCTGCTGAGTGCTGGTCGACTCCAGGCATGTCATAATTTTTACTGTCATAATCCAGCACACGCGTGCGCCGACTGCACGACCATGTCATGATGCATGATGATGAGGCATGACCATTATTACAATATTAGTGCGCATTGCATTGGCATTGACTGAGTGAATGTGTGAGTGAATGTGCCCTGTCACCATGGTCACGCCTAGACTAGATCCGGTGTCGACATGTCGTTGTTATGACCGACCGGGCCGTAGTACTATGGCCCTATGCCTATGGGCCAGCTGCATACCACAGTCAGTGCAGTGCTGGGTGCAGTGTAGCAGAGATAAAAAAATGTCATCGACGAACTGCAAGTAAGTAAGTTTGCTTCAAGTACAAGCTCGATCACGAGGAGTTCGTAGAGGAATCACAATAATAGTAATAATGTCTGATCGGTTGTGCTGTGCGTCTTGTGGCAGCAAGGCGAGACGTTTGAAGCTGGTATCTTGTTTACACGCAATTTGTATAGCGTGTCTGGAGAAGCTCGTTACATTTGATGGACGAGTTCATTGTCCGAAGTGCTTCGCCAAAACGCCAACGCCAAGGTCACCGGCGTCTTCATTACCGGACAATTACCCAAAGCCGACGACACCAGGACAGAGCGCATCTAGCAGTGAGCCGGAACCGGTACTGTGTGACGACTGCGCTGAAGATGAACCTGCCACGGCTAGGTGTGTGAATTGTGGAGTAAATCTCTGTGAAACTCATGCAGCTAGCCACCCACTCTTTAGGGCCACACGTAATCATAAAGTGGCATCACTGACTGCTGAGCAAGAGAAGAACGCCCCAAGAACCACTAAACTACAGCACTATTGTGCTTTTCACCCCACTCAGGTGTTGAGCAATTACTGTGTTCCATGTGACCAGCTGGCATGCCAGCAATGCCTGGACACGGGCGCTCACAGCAAACCTGAACAGAAACACCAACTTGTGCCCATTCAGAATGCTGTGCAGGAGATGCGCCAAACTGTCGACACAAACTTCAGCAGTTGCTTGCCAGATGGGGACAGGCTGATCTCCACTGCACTGGATAAGGTAAAGAAAGAGATGGATTGTGTGAATGAAGCTGCGGAGTATGCCTCAGAGGAGATCACGGAACAATTCAAGCAGCTGAAGATAGCTTTGGATGCAAGAGAGCAGACTCTCCTGGAGGAGGTGGACCAACTGAGGAACAAGAAACTTACGCTACTGGAAAGCCAGGTAGCCCGGCTAGAAGACGGCATTGAAGTGCATCAGGCTGCATCAGAGCTCTCGCAGAGCTGCGATGATGACACTGACTTTGTGAAGATGGCCCATTGGCTGAACAATGCAGTTGATCGCAGGAAAGCTGTGGAAGGAAATGATCTCGAGCCATGCGCAAGAAGTCAGATAGTATTCGGTCGTGATAACGCACCAGAAGTCGCTGGTCAGATTGGCAATATCGGCACCGTCCAGGATTTTGCTGATTTCACCGACGGATTGGCAGCTCACATTGAAAATGCTTTTGAGAATGCGAACCTGAAGATTGTGATCAAGGGAAATGTGCCGTCAGGCCTGTCTCAGGAGTGTATCAATCGTCTTCGTTTCAACATTTCTGTTCACGATGAAGACAGCATGGAACTACCCACTACACTGCTGAAAGAAATTTCTGGAGAACGCCTTGAGCTGACACGCACACAGCTTTCAACTGAAGGTCTGCTCACTGTATCCGTACAATATGCAGAAGCGCACTTGCAGGGCAGCCCAAAGGTTAAGAATGATGATCAGCCGATTTTCGATCTGAGCCGTTGCCACGGAGATATTACTATAAGCAGCAACGAACGCACAATACGGAAGAGTGTAGGGGATTCTACCAGGGCTACATGTTCATCAGTATTACCAGCCAAGCATGGTATCAGCTGTATTCGAATGAGAATAGACGAGACAAGTGAGTATGGTGATGTGCACATTTGTGCATGCTCTTCGGCTAAGCCAAAACTGAAGAAATTACATGACACCAAAGCGGAGATATTTGGCTGGTGTGGGCATGTACCAGATCCTAAATGTAATGGTGGTCGACTTGGACAGCAGTGGCAAACCGGTGATATCATCTCTCTGGAGCTCGACCGTGACAATCAAACGCTAACCGGCCATCACGAGCGCACTGACAGCAGGGAGGTACTTCACGGCATCACCGGGACATGCTGCTGGTATGTTACCCTGTGTGAACACGGTGATCAAGTCACAATACTGTAGACAGTCAACTGCTGCCTGATACTTGAATCATTTAAAATTAATTTTTTAAAGACAGTGCATGCATGCATGTACTCAATTTTCTCAGAACCTTTGTATTTCCCGAAACACTGTATACCCGGCTTTGGGCAGCCTATGCCTTATCTTGAGTCCATTATACCTACATGTAAGTCCATGCTGTCACACATGATCACTGTGACCTATTCCGCCTAAGGAGAGCTTCACGAAACAGCTCAACTGTAGTGATGGTATGCTTCTGAACTTCAATGTACTTCGAAGTACATAGGAGGACCTATTGCCTTGTCAGCGCAAAATAGCTTCTTCCTTTTATAAATCTCTAGCTCTATAGGGCTTGAAAGTGATGACGTCAGAACGGCCAGGGAGTAGTAAGTTCACATCAGATTTCTACTTTTGGATCCACTAAGGTGTGACTTTGCTATTGCCTCAGTATGTGGGTGCATAGCAACCCACTCATATCGCATGCAGGTGTGACTTTTACTTCGCCACCAGTTGTCACCCCGCCCCCACTAGCCAAATCAGTCAGTTTCACTGGCTACATCACCTTGCTGTGAGTAACACCGCTTGAAATGTGCTTGGATCCATACAAAAACTGGATCCAAGTGGATCCAATTTTTGAATTTTTGAAATTGTTGCTATGCTGTGACGTAGCACTTTCAAGCCCTATACAGCTGCCTTGTCCCCACTGGTACCCGCACATTACTGGGCTGCTCAAGACATTTTGCTTTTACATGCTACACATGCTATACATGATTGTTGTGCAACATACATGGCATGTTACATGCACAAACTTGTTGAATTGCTCATGGACTAGCGAAGCCATGTACACTTTATTTGTTAAAATTGAATTCTTTGGTTTCATCCTGATGCGCGAAATTAAGTCGTGTGTGTGTGTGTGTGTGTGTGTGTGTGTGTGTGTGTGTGTGTGTGTGTGTGTGTGTGTGTGTGTGTGTGTGCACAAGTTGCTATGTCTAACAATAGCTGTTCGCTATCATCACTTCAACGATGGGCATGTCTGAATCTGAGTGTGTGTGTGTGTGTGTGTGTGTGTGTGTGTGTGTGTGTGTGTGTGTGTGTGTGTGTGTGTGTGTGTGTGTGTGTGTGTGTGAGAGAGAGAGAGGGGGTATGAGTAACGTACATGAGAACGGGGGGGGGGGGGGTTACAGGTCAAGACTGAAGGTCGTGAGTGCTCTGTGGTATGCAAGCAGCAGTGGAGGCTGCTCCCATGTATGAACTTACTGCCATTAGACAATTCCAAAACAAGATCAAGTCAAGAATCTTACCAGGAGACTTTCTCCCCTTGACACCAATTCCAAGAAAGGAGACAAGTTTGAGCAGAAATCGGAGTGGTAGCTTGCAGCATGAATCATCTGCTAAGGATGGTCTCAGGACCAACCAGTTTGCTGCAGCCAGACATCCGACACTTTCATCCTTGAACATCGATGTGAGCACATTATAACCTGGGGCTAAAGCACAGCCAGCCTGTGACGATCTCTTCTGCCAACTCCAGGCAACACTTAGTGCATGGATACTCAGCGCACATTTGTTTCTGTAGACAGCTTGTTGAAATGCAGCTGTGTTAGAGCGTGTACAGTAAACCTCCCAAGATCCGGACGTCCCTGATCCGGGCATGTCCATGTACCGGACACCTTCCTGACCGACCTACACTACAGTAGAGCACCAATTGTTTTGCACAAAACAAAACAAAAAGCAAAATTTGACCCTTCAACAAAAAACGGTCCGAAAAACTATTGATTCGAAGAAGAGGAAAAATGTTACTTGCATGCTGTAACTATGCAATTTCTGAGATACGGGCAATTCCTAGTTACGGTGGGCAGCGCTCGGTCCCAACCTGCCCGGGTCTGAGGAGTTTTACTATACTGCATTCCCAGGTGCATAGATGGCTCGTCGGGAATCGAGTATCGGTGACTGCCATGCACTGACCGTAAGAACAACGAACCAGCATTCAGCACTTTCACCGGCATTACCCGACCGGTGGGGCTGCGCATGACTGCTCAGAGTCGGAGCTGCGGTGTCAACTTTCCAAGCAGCTGTGCCGTGAGAGGGCCGCGTTGGCCAGGAGCGCGGCGTTGCGGCCGGATATGGAGCTCATTCACTCGATTAGGCTCGTGTAGAAGACGGCCTGATCAAGGACGAACGACGGCAGCTCGGCCGGTGTGCTCCTGTACTTGGGAAAGGCGGCAAACTCTCGCACGGTGACATGCTGTCGTGCACGAAACAGCTTGTCCAGAGTGACATTGTCCAACGGCTCTGGTGAGAAGATCTTCCACACGGACTCATTCTCCGCCGGTTCTTTGTGTATGGTTGATCCGGGTATGCCAATACAGCTGAAGGGAGCCACGGCTGAAGTTAATCCAGTCCGAAGTACTCGTTACTTGGCTGACCAACGACAAACGTAACCACCGTGCGTTGGTACTCGCCGCGGTGCATTGTGCTCGCACTGTGCGGAAAGCCGTTCAGCTCGATTCCGGAGTGCTGCAATGGCGTTACGATGACAACGGCATCAAACACGTCCGCCTCGCCAGAACCAGCGCTCACCTGGAACTCGGCGAACGGCGACGCCTGGTCAAGCCGCTGGACTGTGGTGACCGCCTGGTGACGCAGTGCAACGTCGGCATTGTCAAGCAGTCCTCTACACACCTCCTGGTCACAGCCCTCCACCGCCCAGAAACCGTCCTGCACACCGGCCAGGGTCACAGCCATGACAAACGTGTTCAGCGTGTCGCCGTCCTGGTTGTAGTTGACGTTCGTAAAGCCAACAGGCCCCACAGGTTGCGCGTGTACCACGCGGCGTCCGAGCGCCGCATGTGCCGAAACGTGCCGTCCAGTGTGGCCGCGTCGAACAGCTCGTCGACCGTCCGAAAGTGAATCCCGCATCCTGCGTCCGGTTCAGGCGATCTAAGTCATTCAGAAGCGAAGCGACCATAGAGTCGATCATGAACGGGTCAAACCCCCAGTGGCGTAGAATGTTGAAGAGGTCGCGTGGAACGGACATCGGGGAGCTGCTGCTTTTCACCATGTACAGTCGATCATCGTAGACGCCAAAACACTCTGTTTCGTCCAGCTTTACTGACAGACCTACATTTGTAACAGCAGGCAGTGAGACAAGAAAGAGCAGAGTCCAGTTGCTAAGCAGTACTGGGCTGTGCGACAGTGACCAAGCTGCAAGGGATACCTGCCAGTCGTAAAGGACAAATACCCATGTATGTGGGGACCCTTCCCTCTCGCAACACACACACACACACACACACATACACAGTCACACACACTTGTTCTTGTACTTGTTGCTCACTGCCAAAACTAGTCACGTGGGTCTCCCCGGGAGAGGGGAGAGAGACTCAAAAGGAATCTTGGAAAGATGACTCAATTTGCTATTGAACCGCCCAACGGCCGACATCCCCTGAAATCCCCAAAACTATGGGAGAACTTGAAAATGATCTCACTTATGGGCTCACCACACCTCAGTAAGTGGGCGAGGACAAGGTGCAGAAAAAGGATTGACGGCATCAGGGTATCCGTCCTGGGATCCAACTGCAGTTACCCCTGCCCCCAGTGAATGTAATACTTGCTCCTAGTGCGGGTGGCTAAATCAGAGTGGATCAGAGTGTGAACAAATGCTGATGTGAACGGAATACTGGTAACGTTATAAATATTCGAAGTCGCACGCACATCTACAATCCATCAGGTGGCTGACACCTAACATAACATGTTATACAGTATGATGGGATGCAGTTCTATTCATAACCTAGCAAAGGATCAGCTAACCCCACTCCCACCTCTCTCACTTCCCTGGACTTACGCTAGCTGAGTGCCTACTATACGGGTAAGTACCATAATGAACAACTGAGAGAATGTGTCTATGTGGTAGTAGTAGGAGTGGTGGTGGACTGTGATGGTGTGAAGGGTAGGTTGAGCGAACCTAACGTTATAACCTCGTGCTATAGGGCTAAAACCAGTTCAAACTACAACGCGATGAAGGTTGTACTGTCGAGTCACAGAGCCTAGCTACCAGTACTTTTATCCTACCTGGCCATCCCTGTCGCGGTCCAGCCGCTGCATGAGAAACTCCACCTGGCCCGGATCGACCTGCATTTGTTCGCACATGATAGCCAGATCGTCCTGTACCAGGTAGCCCAGCGAGTTCGTGTCCAGCGAGGCCAAGATGCCCCTCAGGCTGGTCTCGTCCAGTAGCGCCAAGCCTGCGCCGTCCATGATCACCGCCTGCTCGTATGCGCTGTCCTGGTGGAGGATACTAGTAATCTCAGTTTACAGGGGACCGTGCAGAACTCCGGTCCTTAGATGGTGGTTCTGTACACAGTACAGCTAAAACTCCGGAAACTTCTCTCCAGTACGATCAGTGTCTTTTTGAATCAATTAGCAATCTGCTGCAAATTCAAACGTGCCTCAACACTTGCCATCATTCATTACCATGGGAGGGGGAGAACAACATCCTACATGACCCGCTCATTCCAGCCAAGAGAGCAACTAGTATTGATGATCTCGCACTACGTGGTCGTTGCTCCCTTCGGCGTTCAGAACACTCCTCGCTTCACCACAAAATGCAGTGATTTCACTGATCTCTCATGACGTTATAGTTATACCTAATAGTAATACTTTTGTAGGTGCTGTTGATTCTGAAAATAACAACACGAGAAAATGATGCTATAAATGTATGCTGGCTGTGCGCGGCGGTGCATAGCCTGGACGGGCACTGTATCCATGGTGTCAGAACTGTTGTCCAGATAGCGATGGAGCTCAGACTCAGAGAGCGAGAGTGAACATGATCGCAGTGTGTATAGTTCTGGCATGATGATGGACCACGTAGAATTCCAGATTACTTTCCCGGCTTCATGAACAAGTCATGTACAAATCAGGTGTCTACATTTGTACATGTGTGATGTTTAGCTTGGCTTGGCGTCGCCGCCCTCTTATCTTCTAGTTGTAGATCTACATGAAACACAGACCGACAGCGTCGGCAATGCCCAGGCAGTGCAGAGTATGACAGCTGATCATTGCAGTGATATTGTTGATGGGTACTCCTGAGTACTGGCAGCACAGGGAGTATGATAATGATAATGATATTGGGTCGGTTAGTGTACAAGTATAATGCGTCAGGCGAGTTGCCGCTACTCATATTGCGTTGGCGCTCATTGCTATTTTAAAAAGGTTAGGCTAGTAACCTATCAGCACACGAATCACAGAATACAGTACATGTAGTTTCGACTAGGCACTGTAAAAGATAGCGCTAGTGGCACCAACTACATATTTGGAGGTCAGAGCATAGACCAAATAGCTTTTTAAAAGGTAGCGCTAGTGGCGCCAATTACATAGTGAAACAATGAATACTACTACAAAAATAGTATCAAACAACAGTGGGGACCACGGTACTACAATGTCAAAACAGTGACAACAGAACTAATTACTTTCGCACATACTTCTTTTGCACGCGCAGTTCAGGCTTCAGCTTGGCAATGTACACTGCCTCCAGCACAGCAAGGTATTTTGTTGCGCGCACGCGCTTGATTTGTGAAGTGAGAATGGGTGCCATGTTTGCAGACTGCACTTAGGCAGGCCCGTGAGGATGTCAAGTGACGGAGTATCGCCGAGTCCTACTCATTATTGTCTGCGTCCGGTGGTCCATTCGTGCGGCTGCTATTATGCAGGGCAGTTGTGCCGCTGGCGACTTCTCTGCCGGGCGAGGGGTCATACACTGCTCCACATGTGTCAAACCTGTATCAGCCGCTTGTTGCAGAGCGTTGTTGCGGAGACGCAGCCAGTCACTTCGTCTTGTGACAGTTGCTGGTGGTTTGATCGGTGTTGGTTTTCTCCTCCCTTTGTTGACGGTGGTGACGGTGATGTCTTTGACTGGTCACCCTCTCCCTGTCCTAACCAGGGTTACCCGTGTCGTTGTTCCTGTAACCATGGTAACTATCCGTACGAGTTTGTTGGGGATGTGCTGCTCGATGCGATCACCCAATCGTTGTGTTGTCCTGCTATGCCAATGTAGCTGCGATCACACTCACAGGTGAATATTGACATTACTTTAAAAATACATGATTGGCAGAACATCCTTGTTCCAGGTGGTGGACTGAAACATCTTCCAGGAATTCACTGATGAGATCTACATGTACATGAACATCGTATAATTCTGTCAGTAATGAATATCTACAACTTTAATAGGGCGCGTTCGAATTGTCTTCATCGACCTTTCCATATTCTGCTTCATATGAGCAAGAGCTGGCTGGAAGACGATTTGGCACTCTGCTTTACAGGTGTCTGAGTTTGCGTTTTGGGAGTTTGTTGGTCCCTGCTGTAGCCCTTTACATTCTGTGGTGTGTTGGGCTTTGCCTGCTGAATTTTGATAGAGGTATTGTGGACTGGTCCATTGTAGTTTGGAGGCAGCTGTTTAGCTTTGTTCAGGCTGGCCATTTTCTGTTCCGTGGTTGTGTATCTCGCCTTGCCTTGCGTTCTCCTGGGCTGTGCTGGAGCTGGTCCTGGCCTCCGTGCATCAGAGCTGTCAAGTGCTGGGTAGAGTGCATCGCCTCTGGGCGTGAACTGTGTGTTGGCATGGATACTGCCATGGACACCACCTCGAAGCTGGACCTGGCGGTGCTCACGTTTGAGCAACTCCGTGCCGTTGCCCAGGGCCATAACGTTCGGGCACCGGACGGCCTGACTCGTGCAGAGCTGGTACCGCAGCTTCGGAAAGCTGGCATTGGTGTTTTGCCGTCCCTTGTGCAGTCTGGTCTTGATAGCGTCGTCACGGGCAAATTTGATGAATTGGTGCATGCTGTGGGTTGCGTTTCAGCTGAGCTGGCCGCTATGAGAGCTGATAGGCGACGGGAGGCGTCTGTTGTAGCAAGTCTGGACTCACGAGTCATACACCTCGAGAGTGAAGTAGAGGCTCTCCGTCTTGCTTCACTTGGATCTCTCAAGGAAGACGTTTACGCCTCAGAGTCTGAATCTCGTATTCATGCGCAGGAGCCTGCTTCCTCACCACCCCCAGCCATTTCTAGGCCTCTGCCGGTGGAGTCCCGCTCTCGAGTTCAGCCTCCGTATAGCGCTGTTCTGCAGGGGACTGTGGGTTCTTGTGCTGCTGCTGCTGCATCTGCTCGTCCTGACTCTGTTCGCACTGGTCCTGGGGCCGGTAGTTCTACTGCTTCCGGTTGGCGGGATGTCAATCGGCGGCGACATCGCAACAAGTTTGACACAGCCCCGACTGCTACCGCTTCAACCACCCGTAATGAGGCCCTGGCCAGGACTGTCACTTCTGCCTATCAAAAGCCCACACCCGTTAATACCTCTCCGAACGTGCTAACCGGAGCCGCGCGAACCCGGAGGAAGGTTTTCTTCATCGGCAATATCACTCCTGGCTGTGAGGCGACATCTATTGTCAACTGGTGTAAAGAGCGAGATGTAGAGGTGCTTGCATGCTCCGTAGCCACATCGCGGTACTTTGGCACCTCCTACGCAAGACTTACCGTACCTGAGGAGACCACCAATCGGGTGATGGGTGACTCTTTCTGGCCGGAGACTATTCAGCATGCTGTTCGGCCATGGAGGTTCAGTGACGGGGTGGGGGTGTCTGCGGACATCGCTGCTCAGTGACTGCTCTCTCCTTCCGTGGCTGCGTTGAACCCAGATGCAGCGCCATTCTTCTTCTTTCCCGAATCCTGTGTCTGTTCTAACCTTAACCCCAATGCCAGGCCGTATGCTCCTCTGCGTCATCCAGCCGAGCAAGTGAAGGAGACTAGCTTCGAGAAGCTCCTATTGTATACAACAAACTGCCGTTCAATTGTCAATAAACATGCTGAATTGTCCGTAATCGTCGAACAACACCACCCTGATGTGATTTGCTTAACTGAAACTTGGCTAGA